ACCTAACACTTAACAACTTTTACACCAAGTGACCCTTGCCCCTGAATTTCCTACCTTGGTAGCAGCACCATCAAACAATTCAGAGTCAACCCCAGATGTCTTCTCTGCCCTTTCCTGAACTCCAGTCTCCCGCCCATTTTAACAATGTGTGATTCCAGGGGTTTTGTCATTGTTGTTTTGCATTTCTGGGGATGGAATCCAGTATTGAACTGGGGATTGAACCTCTCTGTTCCACCACCATTTATATTATTTTATTTAATTGATATACTTATTGAGGCAAGGTCTCACTAGGTTACCCATGCTGGCCTCAGATTCCATCTTCCTGCCTTAGCTTCTTGAGGATCTGTGGTTGCAGGCAGGCACCATGGTGCCCAGCTTGTTCCTCCACCATTTAATCAACAAGTACTGCTGATGCAGGTTGCCCCACATCAGTCAAAACTGCCCCCTCTTTCTGCCTTCCTACTGCTGCCTGAGTGCAGGCTTTTCTCCATAATAGCCTTGCTTACTCAGGGTTCCCAGTCCTCTCATCTATTCTCTGCAGTGATGGCAGCACAATTATTGCAGAATACAGATCTGGCCATCAGGCTCCTTTGACCCTTCAAATTTCCCTCCAGGGATTGACACATAAGACCCATAAAATCCAGAACCCACTGAGACAGATCTACAGGGTACCCTGTGTTCTCCTCTTTCCTTCATGTTTCTACCTGGCTGACTTCACTGTATCTCCCTTTTTAAAGTATATATTCTTAAATTTTCTATTGACTCATAATAATTGCACATATTTATAGGGTACAGTGTGACATTTCAATGTGTAATGATGAAATCTGGACAATCAGCATTTTGATTATCTCACACACCCTTTCTTTGTGTTGGGGACATTCAAAATCCTCTTTGCTAGTTATTTTGAGATATTCACTTTATTATTGTCAACTATAGTTATCCCACTATGCTAAAGAAGACTAAAAGCAATTCCTCCTATCCAACTGAACCTCTGTACCTGTTAACCACCCCCTCTCCATCTCCCCTTCCCCAGCTGTATGTTTGGGACTTACCATGATGGTTACCTTCTTTAAGAGTCTTCTGTGACCCTCTCTTTCCAATTTTTATTCCAAGCAAGACATACCTCCTTGGTGCTCAGGAACATCTTGGGTCCTTATTATGATTGTTGATTTAATTGTCAGTCTGCCCACATGCCCCCTTCACTGGACTGTAAAGTAACATGTTTTGTTTTGTGGTGCTGTGGATCAAACCCAGGGGTACACGCATGCTAGGCAAGAACTCTACCACTGAGTGACATCCCCAGTCACCAGAATGGTCTCTTTGATGCTAGTACAATAAGAATTTGGTGAGAGCTGGATACAAAACACATTTTGCTGCCTAGATTTTTTTTCTATAGCATAATTTTACTAAAAAAATCTCTTGTTCACTTTAAATTTTTGAGACAAAATAGGTAAAGATAGTCTGAATGGTAAAAGTTCATCTAAAATGAATTCGGTCCAAAGCAGTTATAATCCCAAATAAAGATTTCATTTTCTTGAAATTCTTCAGAAAATACTGGACGCTGGGGGGGGGGGGAGTTGTCTTAAAATGTCCTCATTAATTAGTTTCCTCAACAAATATTTGCTGAGGGCAAACTGTTTGCCGAGCCCTGAAATAAGCACAGGGAGATGGCAGGAGGCCATGAGACCAAGTTCTCATTCTTGCAGGACTTGGAGTCTGATGAGGGACTAGAAGCTTAAACAAGTAAAAAAAAAAAACAAATGGAAAAAAAAAGTCTAAGATATGAAACAGCAATGAATTAGTAAAGGCTGGATGTGGGTATAGAAAACAAAAATGGAACTGTGTGGACGGACACAGTGACATATAAGCCAAGTTCTAAAGTATGGGAAGAAACTATTCTAGGCAAAGGAAAGGGTCTCTGTGAAGTCCCAAGGTGGACAGGGTCTTGGAGGAATACAAAATACCCTTGTGAGTGCCACTTTGAAAATGAGGGAGGAGCATGGGAGGAAGGTTAGAATAGTGAGCAGAGGCTGACACATTGTCTAGGAAGTTAGGATTTGATCCGAAATGCCAGGGAAGGGGATGGGAGTGTGGCTCAGTGGTAGAGGCTGTGCTTAGCATGTATGAAGTCCTGGGTTCAATCCCCAGCATCAACACTCCCCCAAGCCCCCCCAAAAGCAAGAGGAAGCCAGGGAAAGATTCCTTCAAGGGCCAACAGGCTTCAATTTATATTTTTAAAGATGTGTATAGAGTAGGAGAAAAATCGATGGACTCTGGGGTTAAGTGAAGAGTTCTTCTTAGACTTGAAACCAAATTCCTAAAAGGGAAAATTGAGAAATTTGACTATATCAAAATGAAAACCTTTTCATTGACAAAAGTTCCTATTGAAGGGGATGAAGATTTAAGATACAGACAGGGAGAAACATGTTTGCAAATCAATATCTGACAAGTAACTCCTAACTAGAATACATAAAGGACTCTCAAAATGCAACAGTGGAAGAAAAAAAAAGATTCAAACAATCCAATTAGAAAATGAGCAAAAGACATGAAAAGACATTTTGCTGAAGATGATACACAGACAAGCATATGAAAAGATGTTCAAAATCATTAACCATCAGGGAAATGCAAATTAAAACCGCAGTGAGATATCACCACACATCTATCAGAATGTCTAAAGTAAAAAATAGCGACACCACCAAATGTTGGCAAGAAGGATGTAGAGAAACTGGATCACTCATGCACTGATGGGTATATAAGATGGGATAGTCACTCTGTAAAACATTGTGGCAGTTTGTTAAAAAATGAAACATGTAACTACCATAGAGCTCAGCAATTTTACTCTTTGGCATTTATCCCGGAGAAATGAAAACTTATGTTCACACTAGAACCTGTACATGAATGTTCATAGCAGCTTTCTCTGTAATAGCCAAAACCGGGAATTAGTTCAGCAGTCTTTCAATGGCTGAATGGTTACTCAAAATGTTGTGTATGCATACCATGGAATACTACTCAACAATGAAGAGAAATAAAATTCTGCTACGCCAAGAAAGTTGCATGGATCTCCAGAGAAGTTTGCTGAGCAAAACCAGCCAATCCCCAAAGGTTTCATACTGTATGATACTATTTATACATATTATTGAAATGAAAAATTTTAGAAAGGAGCTGAGTGGTTGCACTTAATTAGTGAGTGGTTGCACATAATTAGTGAGGGAGATTAGTTGGTTACACAAGGGCAACAAGGATTGTTATAGTAATAGAACTCTTCATATGTCTCTTGACTGTGGTGAAGAATATACAAAAAATAAAATTGTATAGAATAAATATGCACATGAGTACAAATAAGCTAGGCATGGTGGCCACAGCTGTAATCCCAAGAACTCAGGGGGCTGAGGTAGGATGATTGCAAGTTTCAAGGCCAGCCTTAGCAACTTAGCAATGCACTCAGCAACTAGGTGACACCCTGTCTCCAAATAAAAATAGAAATGACTGTGGATGCAGCTCAGAGGTAAAGTGCTCCTGGTTTAATCCTCAGTACCATACCAAATCAAACCAAAACAAAAGCAAATGAGTACAAATAGAACTAGAGAAATCTGAATAAAGTCAGTAGATTATATCAATATCAATATCCTGATTATGGTAATATATGACTTTGCAAAATGCTACAACTGGGAGAAACTAGGTACCAAGGAAAAAAGATACATAGGGTCTTTCTGTATTATTTTTTATAACTATATGTAAATCTACAATTATCTAAAAAAAAATCCAGCTTAAAAAAAAAGGATATCTAAAAAGAATGATGGGAACTAAAGGTAGGGAAAGTTAGATTGGAAGCAACGGGCCCAGAGAAGAGGTGACTGCAATGGAAATTATCAACTGGTGGCTCAGACCCTGCAATCGATGGAGGGAGTGGCCATGAAGAGAAAAATAACTGCGTTTGATCTGTCCTCTAGAATCAAGACCTTTGCCATTTAAAGGGAATTTTCCCAGAGAGCTTTCCAAATCCCCAAATTTGCAAGAACCATGATAATATACACCATGATAATGATAATTTATAATACCTATATTTATAATGCATGATTACAAATTATTGATAGTCCTTTTTTTCTTTAATCACCAAGATACAAAAATGAGAACAAAGTCAAAGTGGGAGTGGATACTGAGCCCTAGAGACCTGTGGGTCTTGCCTTCTCTGGCCTCCCACCCTCATCTTGTTGTAAATGGAATCTGGCGTTGGGACTCACTGTTGCGCTCACCCTCAGCAACCAGTATCTACAATCCAGGCTGGGTCCCAGGACCCCATCTTCTTTATCTCTACATTTTTAAAAAATTCTCATTTGTTATATATGACAGCAGAATGCATTACAATTCATATGACACATGTAGACACATTTTTTTCATATCTCTGGTTGTATACAAAGTATATTCACACCATTCCTGTCTTCATCCATGTACTTAGGGTGATGATGCCCATCTCATTCCACCATCTTTTTGACCCCCTTGCCCTCTTCCTTCCCCTCCCTCCCCTTTTCCCTATCCAACGCCATCCATTTATCTGCACATGCCATGAATGATAAAAAAGACAAAGAAGTTAGAAGGTCAGGTTTGCTTCCCATTTTCCAGGCACCTGAAAATTCACCATCAACACATACCACCCCCCATTTCTTATCTCATATCTTTTCTTCCTACCCTGTGCCCAAGGTTAAATCCCATTCCTTCAAAATCCTGCACTTTCTACACAGAGTTCAGGGCCACTCTGGGTAGAAACGGTCAATCCTCAGAGGCCAATGACTCCAGGTAGACGGGTCAGTGTGGTGTTTTTCTCTGAATGAGGTCAAATGCCTTTTCTCCAGAAAGGTCTTCAAAGCTGCAAACAATAATTTAAGAACTAAACAAGGTCCTGCTCCCCCCTCCTCCTCCCCCCAAAATAGAAAGAAATCCAAAGAAAATAAAGTACAATTCTGAAGAGAATGTGAGAAATAGATAAATGGTGATGAACAACATAGGAAGGTACCACATTTATTAGATTAAAAGCACTAAGAGTGAAGCACACCAAGCCGAGCAGCTGAGAAATGTGGATTGTGATTGTTTTTGTCCTGTTTGTTCTCAGGGACTTGAATTTTCAGCCCTAGACATCTGGCCCTTTGTAACTGAGATTTTAGCTTTTAGGTATCAGGCCAGCAGGGAGGGAGGTGATGAGGCCCAGACGTGTTCCTGGTGAGATGAAAAAGAGTTCAACTCCTGGAGGGTCCAAGTGGCCCCTTCTCCAGTGACCTCTCTCCCCGCATTCCAAGGTGATCCGGCACAGAAGGCTTCAGCTACAAGAAAACCAAGACCTTTAGGTTCAGGAGAAAAGTTTCACAGGGTCCCAAAGTCAATTCCGACAACCCACATCCAGATCAGCAACCATACCCAAACTGCCTAAATCATAGTACTTAGGGTAAAATCATAGTTTGGGGGAGATTTGCAACTGAAAAGAAAGTTCAGAGATGAGTCAAGTCCCCACATTCTTCAGAGGGGAATGGAGCATCACATTCCAGATGGAGTGGGAGGTGATGGAGCTACCAGGAATGAGAATCCCACAGGAGAACAGGTAGAGCTAAAGAAATAAAAATAAAACACAAAATCATATGGGGCACCTGAAAACACAAGATAAATCTCAGAGGAAAAAAAAAGGTATCTGTTTGTTTCGTGGTATCTCACCATTTTGACTGCTTTTCTACCTCTTGAAATTTTTACTTTTAAAAAGATTTACTGTGAAGCATATATGTGGGTGAAGAGACAGGAAGCTTTTCACTGTGCATTTTGCTTAGGACTGCCATTGCTGAGACTTCCTCCTCCTCCTCCCCTCCTCCCCTCCTCCATTCTCCTTCTCATCCATCCTCCTCCTCTTCAAAATATAAGTCATATGCTTGGCATGTGGGAGGAAGCCCTGGATTGGATCCCTGGCCCCAACAACAAACAAACAGTCTCTCCCCCTCCCTCACCCTGAATAAATTTCAGACTCAGAACCATTTAGTTCTTAAATGCCCAAATGCCTTCCTGGTACCATACATTGCCTTAAGTAGTGGAGACACAAAGATGAACCAACAATACCTACTTCTTATATTTGTTCTCTTTGGATATACATGACAGTAGAGTGTATTTTTATTTTTTAAAGAGAGAGTGTGAGAGAGAGACAGAGAGAAAGAGAATTTTAACATTTATTTATTTTTTCTTAGTTCTCGGCAGACACAACATCTTCGTTTGTATGTGGTGCTGAGGATCGAACCTGGGCCGCAGGCACGATAGGCGAGCGCGCTACTGGTTGAGCCACATCCCCAGCCCAGTAGAGTGTATTTTGACAATATTATACATACATGGAGTCTAACTTTTTCTAATTAGGAATCTATTCTTGTGGTTGAACATAATGTGGAGTTTCACTGGTGGTATATTCATATATGAACATGGGAACAATATGTACTTCTTCGGGGGAAAGAACTTAGTACAAAAGGACATAAGAAAAAACAATACCAAAGGAAAACTTCATGGTGGTGGATCATGCGGAGGAAACAGAGGCCCTACAGACACACTTCCGTTGTTGCATTTGTTAATCTGTTTATTTAAATGTTTAATTTATTGGATATCCTTTACTAAACTATGGATGTCTATTAAATGGTAGAATTATAGAAACAGTTAATAGTCTCTACAGAAATCCTTCTTACCCTCCAAGACCTGAGAGATGCCATTCACATCATGAAGCTCTTCACCTGAGTCTCTTTTGGATGCTTATGACCCTCTGTATCATTCATATGACATTTAAAGTGACAAGGAATTTGGGTCTTTTCAGGAGAACGGAAAGTGGCAAAGGTATTCTGTTCGTTGAAAGTAGTCCATGGGTTACATAAGAGAATGTTAGGAGATAAGAATGGGAAATAAAAATGGGCTGGGCACAGTGGCACACACATGTAATCCCAGTGACTTGGGATACTGAGACAGGAGGATCACAAGTTTGAGGACAGTCTAGGAATTTAGCAAGACCATAGCAAGACCCTGACTCAAAATAAAATATAAAAGGGGCTGGCGATGTGGCTCAGTGCCCCTGGATTCAATCTCCAGTACCAAAAAGAAAAAATAGAATTCTGCTTATAAGCTTATAAAGCCTCCTCAAGTCAGAGCCACCTGTGGACCATGTGTACAGCTGTGTCACAACAGAGGCTGGCAACCCATCTGCCCACCAGTCAGTTGCAGCACACATTTTTCTCTGTATTTAAGAGCAGAGATAATAACATCAAAGAGAAAATTATTTATAGAGGTCTTAATGAACTCATCAAATTGTAGAAATATGTGTATTTATAATAAGTGAGAATTTGGGTCTAACCTCATCATTATGAGTGTCACATTCTTTGAAACTTGCTCTGTTTATAAATACTGAGGTTTCCTACTAATCGAATGTCAGTTCCTCAAAGTCACCACAAGAGAGACATCTGTATGGAAGAAATCATTTCCCAATCTCACTATGAAAAAAAAGCCACAATAATAAAAGTTCTAATATGCAGTTTATACAAATGCATGGAAAATCACTTTTCTTTATTTATCAACTTCTCTGGTGTTCAGAGAACGTTTGTGGCCAGGCACAATGGTGCACACCTGTAATCCCATTAGCTGGGGAAATTGAGGCAGGACAACCTCAAGTTCAAAGCCAGCTTCAACAATTTAGCAAGGCCCTAAGCAACTCAGCAAGACTCTGTCTCAAAATAAAATATAAAGAAGGGCTGGGGATGTGGTTCAGTGGTTAAGTACCCCTGGTTCAATCCTTGGTACCAAAATATATATATTTGTATCAAAATAATGTATTGGGGGGAAATACTGGGGATTGAACCCTATTGATCTCTATTACTGAGCTATGTCCCCAGCCCCTTTATTTTTAATTTTCATTTAAGACAGTGTCTCACTAAATTGATGAGGCTGGCCTTGAACTTGAGATCCTCCTACTTCAACCTCCTGAGTTGCTGGGATTACAGGTGTGTGCCAGCATGCCTGGCTGCAATACTGTCTTTTAAATATTTGAAATATGATTTTACATGTCAGTTGAATGTGCTGGGAATTGATTTTTAGGAAATGTGATCCAAAGTGAAATAATGTGTGTTGCAGAACATATAATCAGAAAATACAGTATCACAATGTTTGCTATCATGATGATCATGGAAGCCCCATTGTTGACTATGATGTTAACATCTTACTACTCATTTCTGAGTACCAACTGTGTGCCAGAAATTTAGTTAGATACTGTATCTATATGAACTCTTTATTAACACCTTAAAATCTTAGTTTCTTGCATGTTCAAATTTACCTGAAATCCCCAGGAGAGAAAAGGGCAGAAATCACTTTCTTGGGTAGAATGCTCAAAAGCAACCTTTACCAATGGAGTGGGTTTTAAGAGTCTGTAAATGAAATGATGCTTCGTGGATTGCTTAAGTCAGTATCAGAATTACTAGGATGAACTATGTGACATTGCCAATATGGATGAAATATTGGCTGTTTCATATGATTCAGCCTTACTATAATTAGGTAATTTCTCATGGGTGGATCTACGCTGTAATGCTGTAACTGGACCATGAGATAGAAAGAAGAGCAAGGGAGTACATGAAAGGTTTTTTTTTCTTTTCCCCATGTGGTTGGTTTGCAAATCAGAACCATCTCTCTCATGCTGTTGCTTTACAGACTAACTTAATGACAACTCTGTAACTCGACTGCCAAGAAGAAACTTAAATTCTGTGATGAGCCATTGGTTGGGGTGCCCTTGTCTGATAATTGACAGATAGTGTGACAGGGTGGAAATCAATTCCACGGCAAAAACCTTTCTTGTTTATTTTTTTAACTGACTTGAGATGCACATGTGATGTCTCTGCTTACTGATTATACCTTTTTTGAACTGAAATTCTAAATACCTAAAATGCAAAGACCCAAAGGGAAATGGCTATCTCATTGTTTAAAATTCGTTGCCAAAAATAAAAAGCTAACCTGAACAAATAAGAAGCAAACTATGTTTATGTTCAAAACATCTTATTTCATGTAATCACATTTTGAACCAAGGCCAAGTCATGCCTCTTGCCTGAGGGCTAATTTTGTATCATAGCAGAATAATGGGATGAATAAATTCCCCAACAATTGTGTAGAGGAAAAATAATTGTTATCTGGGAGTTTATTAGGAGATAATTATACATCAAACTGTAGATGATTTTACAAATCCTGAAAAGGTCAGAGAAGAGCTAATCCAAGTAGATTATTTCCAAGCTTAAAAAAAATGCAAAGAATAAGCAGGAAATAAGCTGTGGATTACTGATTATGTTATAGAATGCCTGAAAAACAACAATCCTAGACATGTAGTAACCATTCAAAATTTTAGCAACTACTAATATTTCTACTCTACTAACCACTATTACTATTAATGTTAATAATATTGACTACATAGAATTACCTTTGAAATAATAGTTTCATTTATTTTATTTTTATATATGCTCAAAAAGTATCAATTTGGTTAGTTTTCTTTAGTCAGAACCAGACAATAAAGACACTTTATTTTGCATTAAATTATAAAATTAAGTATGCACGTAGTGCCTTACCTGATGGTTATGTGGTGCTGCAGTAAAATCACATAGAATTTGTGGCAAAACTGGCATCACCTGAAATTCAGAAATGCAAATGGTTAGTTAGGTTCCTCTCAGATTGACTAAACTAGAAATTCTGTGGGTGTATCCCAGAAATCTGTATGAAAAAGCCCTGCAGGTGATTATGATGCATGATAGTTTAGAGTCATGGAATTAGATTACATGTTTTTAAAGCCAAATCTAGATTTGGTGTACAACCAAAGAAATGAAAAGTTGTGCTGCAATTGTGAACAATGAATCAAAATGCATTCTGCTGTCATATATACATAATTAAAATAAATTAATTTATGTAGCCAAAGGTCAAAAAAATTTAAAAAATAAAATAAATAAGATTTTATCTAAAAATAAAAAATAAAAACATAGATTTGAAGGTGGGCTCTCTGTTACTGTTAACCAGGGAACTTAGTTTCCTAAAATAAAGCCTTAGTCTCTAAAATAGGGTTAATCATAGTAACAGTACTGATAGCTAATGTGTAGAGCATGAGGCTTCCTATGTGCCAGGGAATTTTCTAAGGAGTTTGTCTATGTTAACTCGGTTACTCGTACTTTACAGAATGTCTGCTATTCCTTTAGTAAAGCAGGATTGGGTAAGTCAGTCTCTGTTTTGCCCTTTTCTCCTTTCCCTTCGCAGCCAGGAAGCTCACCCCTGCAGATCCACCACTTGGGTTCCCTGAACACCTGACTTTCAGTTGTGCTCCGCCTGGAGGAAAGCATCAACAAGAGATTAGAAGGGAGGCTGACGGAGAGGTTGAGGTCGTCCCTGCAGCACTTCCTCCTTGACTTGGCAACCCTATTCTAATTTGAATGTGTTGGGGTGAGGGGGATTACCAGACTAAAGCTCCTGCCAGACAGCCTCTTTTCCATAGCTCTTTTTCTCACTGGGCTCCATAAACATTAGGTCCTCCTTTTGTCTCTTCATGCCCAGAATGGTAATGACTTCCTGCTGTTCCAGTTTCTTGGTACCTAAACATCTCTCTCTAGTTCCCTCAGCTCTCTCACCACATCTCTGTAAGTAGAGGTCTGACTATTCTAGGAACTTTTCTTCCTGGCTGGTTTGTTTTGTTTTGTTTTTCCTTTCAGGACCAGGGATTGAACCCAGGGCGCTGCACTTGCTAAGCAAGCACTCTCCCACTGAGCTACCTCCCAGCCCTATTCAGTAACATTTCTTGATTTGAACCCTAGAATGAAATACACTTTCTTGCTGGGCCTCAGATCCTTAGAAGGATTTCTTATTTTAGCACTTAGTCAACTATTCGTTACTTGGTATAGTAGCATGCGGTCGTTTTAAACAGTTTTGTTTTCCAAAACAGAAAAGAAATCGGTATGATAGGAAATGTGATCTTGCATTTTAATAGTCTTAGAAAACCAAAAGGTTTTAATTCTAATTTGAACTAGTTCACTATATTTTTTTTTAATTAACAAACAAAAATCTCTTTCATTTGGTTCGCACTTCAGGGAAAAGATACCGGGATTTGATTTAGTTCTGGAGCTCACCAAATTAGCTTGGTATATCCCAATTAAATGGTCATGTTTGTTTTGGTTCTGAGTCAACCATAAAACTCTGAAATACTGGAAAATTTAAGTTGTAGTAAATTATTTCTCAGACTGGGACACACTCTAATTATGGGGATATGTTGTTAGAATAGTAGAAACTCAAAGTCATCTTGGTAATAAGACAAAATTCTTCTCACTTTGGTGAATGGGTCATCAGACACTGGATTTCCCATTGTTTACAGTTTAGCTTCCTAAACAAAATCAGTGACAGCCAGACAAGGTGGAGCACACTTGTAATCCCTGCAACTCAGGAGACTGAAGCTGGAGGATCACAAATTCAAGGCTAGCCTCAGCAATTTAGGAAAGCCCTAAGCAAGTTAGCGAAACTCTGTCTCAAAATAAAAAATAAAAAAAGGATGGGAGTGGGTGTAGCTCAGTGGTAAAGCATCCCTGGGTTCAATCCCCAGAACTAAAACAGAAAACAAAAATCAATAACAAACTATATATGGCAGTTCCCTAAGTGCTATTTTTTTCTTTCTCTTTTGTAAATTAGATCAATGTTTCTCCAATTGTAGGCCCCAGACCTTCACCTGAAATTCAGAAATGCAAATGGTTAGGTTGCTCTCAGATTGACTAAACTAGAAATTCTGCGGGTATGTTCCAGAAATCTGTATGAAAAAGCCCTGCAGGTGATTATGATGCATAATAGTTTAGAGTCATGGAATGAGATCACATGTTTTTAAAGCCAAATTCTATCTAGTATATCTATGTTGGGGTTGGGCTCCACTCAAAGCTCATGCTGATACTATTAATTCTTTGTGTGTGTGAGGGACAAGATAACAAGGTGACTCATGGTGTACCCAAAGACATGATAGAGCAGTCTAACCCCAACACTGATTCCTAACCACTGTGCAAGAATGCACCCCCAAAGACCACTCAGAAGCAAGGTGTGAAAGCAGGATGAGGACCTGAGCAAAGTTTAAGGAGTCTTACTTGAACTTTTTAATCCTCAGATATCCTGAACTGGGAACAAAATATGTATTTACAAGAATACACATTTGCTTTATTGTCTGTATCTAGCAGAAAAGGACCAAGATGTAGTGTTGCTAACACACATCTAAATTTTCAAGCACAAGTTTCTGATTACCCTGTGACTAAATAAGCTTTCACATTTTTTTTTGCTCATTTCTTTGCTTAATGAAAAGCAGGCAAAGCTACACTGAGAGGGCAGCTACAGTGTGATAAAGCCATGGACACCTTGTTCTAAGCATTCCAAATATGTTTCTTTGTATCTTCTAGCCTTCATTTTTTATTCTCTAGGACAATATTTCTGTGTTGTTGGGATTTTTTTTTGTGTGTGTGTGTGTGTGTGTGTGTGATTTTTTGCAGGGTTGGGGGAGTGCTGGAGTGGGATCTCACAACTTCTGGTGAAAGGCACAAAATGGGTAGGAAAGGCAGGACTGGAGACGGATGGGGGTCTATTTCTAATCTAGGGATTCCCTCAGTTGGAAGCTAATGATGTTTCACAGTGCAGGCACATCTTTAATCTCATGGTGAATAATGTGTAATGGTTTAGAGGAAGATTTAATAAAAGATCCTTATGCTCCAAAGCCAGTAATTTGGGAGTTATGCTAGTTCCTCTGGCTCTCACCCCCAAACACAATCTGTCACCAAGCCCTACTGATTCTAGCTGCCAAGCCATTCTCAAACCTGTCTTTTCCATTCTCATTACAACTGTCTTAATTTAGGACCCAGACTTTTAATTGGACTTCCTTTCCCTCGCTCCCTCTTGTCTCATTGTCATGACAACTGTAAAGACTTTTCTTAATATCACATTGCTTTCCTATTTTAAATGCCTTTAACACCCACCTGAGCAGGGGTACTCCTACCTCTTCTTATTGCTCAATCAATATTCTAGCAATCTGCTATACAAGCCAGTCTGTTTCAGGTCTTACAGGCTTTGCTCTCCAGAATAGGTCAATATTGAGCCTGGAATTCTCTCCCTCCTCCAAGGCTAAGAGGGAAACATACTGTGTTTCCTTCCAAACCTAACTTGAAGGCCACCTCCTCCAGGGAGCCTTCCCAGCCCTGTGAGCAGGAATTTCTCTCTCTCTTGCCATAATCCATCATATGATTATTATAGTTATTTATGTATAGGTCTTCCTAATTTGGGGTTTCCAGGCATTTCCACACAATACCTGATACAGGCATACACAATTTAAAGGATGTTTGTACTCATTGCCACAGCATAAGAGTTGTGAGCTGTGTGAAATGATATTAAGCATGGATACAACTTGAAAAATTTTCTCTTTTGTATAAATATTCTCAAAAGCCAGATGTTTGAAGTTGAATGATACAGCTTTGCCACCTGTCACCTGAGGCATGTTTTCTCTCTCTTTTTGTATTTATTTACAGAAGAAGAGGAAAAAGTGTTTCAACTACCACAAACATCTCCTTCCTATTGCTAAAATGATATCAAAGCAACAAAGGATTCAGAGAAAATCCAGCTGACCATCTTATTTTGCCTTATTTTGCCAGGTACACATTTTAGGGTGTCTAGTCCTGATATGTCTAGGTGTGTCCAAGAAATTTGATTTTGAATGTACGCCTGAACTAACCAGACAATTAGGTATAATTATTAATCTCAATAGTTAAAGTAAAACTTGAGGTATAAAATGAAATACCAGGGGCTAGGGATGTGGCTCAAGCGGTATCACGCTCGCCTGGCATGTGTGCGGCCCGGGTTCGATCCTCAGCACCACATACAAACAAAGATGTTGTGTCCGCTGAAAACTAAAAACTAAAAAATAAAAAAAAGCTGTCTATATATGAGGTATAGACAGTTTCCGATATTTGGCTCTTTCTAGCCACTCCTGCCTAAGCAGGAGGTAGTTGGAAGTCAGAGGGCTGCTTGTTGAATGTGAACTTGGAGCACTGGAAGACTGAGTCTTCCAAACTAGAAAACAGTCAGATGGACTATTCCTGTCCTTACTGCCACCAAGTACACTTAGGTTCCAGGTTTTGGACACATTGCACCTGGTGGGGCAGATGCCTCTTCCTCCTGGACAGTTCAGAGGAGTATGATCAGATTTTGGTTTAGGGGAGATACCTTTGCTCACTCCTGTTGCTTTGTCAATTCTCTTAATTTTTATTTTGTTTTGTTTTGTTTTGCAGATAGGGCATAATAAACAGTGAGCTCAGAACTCACCCCTTTCACCCTTGCCTTTTCTAACCACTTGCATTACCTGGACTTTTGGCTTGGTCTGGCCTTGTAATCCTAGTTTTGATCTTCATTTCCTTTTGCTCACCTCAGAGGAGGACCTGGCAACAAGATAGTCACTACAACAAAATTTGGGTGGCGGCAGTTTCTTCACTCACCCAATTATGATTCTGTCTCATGTTTAGGAGACAAGTCCCATCTTCCATGTTTTTTTGTTTTTGTTTTTGTTTTGCCTTTTTGATTTTCTTCTTAGAGGATAACATTCTGAGAGCACCTAATGGTAACTCCCTAGTTACTTACT